ACGTGCGCCAACTCATGGATCATATACTCTCTGCGCGAGCTGGTGGGCTCGTGAATGCATTGAAGTCATTGTACCCAGAGTTGCAGCCCATCGTGCACGACGACGCACGCCACCTTCATAGATTCAGCGCGCGTCGCGAGTCCCATTCGGCACGCGCAGCCGTGATCGCCCCGCCACGTTTGAAATACTGCCTGGATGAGTTCCACGCGATGGACCGCACAGACGCATGGTGCCCGGTAAACTGCCATCCGAAGAACCCAGGTCTGGCCGAGCCTGCCCACGGCGGTTCCCAGTCCAGCGTGTGCGAATCCACATTCGCGGGGCTGACCCGGGACAGACGCCAAACGAAGGAGGAGGAGGAGGAGGAGGAGGAGGAGGAGGAGGAGGACGAGGAGGAGAAGGAGGAGGAGGAGGAGGAGGAGGAGGAGGCATATGAGTCAATTAGGTCTTTGCATGCTCCCCTGGGAGATGGCAGGCGCCCAGCATGCCACGTCTCCGCGCGGGCAGCTCTGGCCGCCTGCCCGCCGCGCGGGTGTGGGGCGCTGGGCGGTGCCGCAGGACAGCGCCCCGTCTGTCCCTCCGACGGCTCCCGCCGATGGTGATGCGCTGCCGCGCGGTTCCGCCGCCGCACTCGGGGGCGTTGCAGTCGAGGCGTTGACCTAAGGAACCCTAAATAAGGAACGAGGCCCCTTTTTCCCATAAGCTCAGCCTCGATTTCCGATGGAAGACCTCAGGAAAACCCGAGTTACAGTCGAGGCGTTGACCTAAGGAACCCTAAATAAGGAGCGAGGCCCCTTTTTCCCAGAAGTTCAGCCTCGATGTCCGATGGAAGACCTCAGGGAAAAACCCGAGGCAAAGTCTGAAGCAATCCAGGAGCACCGAGCCCCTCCCCAGCGAGAAGGGTTCCTTCTTCAGCGCCCCGACTGTATCTGGTAGAGGGAAACATGTAGTAAACACCGCAAAGTTGGCACGCGCGAGGGAGACCGCGGTCGAGGTGCAACTCATCAGACCCACCGCCAGCTTTGAACACTTGGGGGAGGGGGAGGCGTTGACAGATGAATGTGGCATGAGTGTTCGCTATTTTTGTCCGAGGCCTGTCGTTCTGTGCCATGGCCCACAGAGCACCCCAAGGTCGGCCTTCCATCGATCCACGGAAAAGACTCCAAAAGAACACCAAGGACAGGCCCCCCCAAGGCCTCCAGCCGCATCCGGGCCTCGCCCAGCAGAGAACTCGCAGTAGATGCTCCTCCGCCGTCCTCGTCGTCGAACCCCTCCCTTCCCCTCCGCCCCTTCCTCCTTCCTCACCCTCCTCCTCCTCCTTCGCCCTCCTACCCCTCCTCCTCCTCCTCGCCGCCGCCCCGTGCCCCCGGGCGGAGCCTCCCGGCGGAATCGGCGGACCCGGGCGGACCAGGCGGACCGGGCGGACCTGGCAAACCCGGCGTGACCCGGCCCGGATCCGGCGGACCCAGCGGGCCCTGTGGGTTGATCTGCAGGACTCGGCGGGCCCAACAGACCCGGCTGGCCTGGCGGGCCGTACTTACGGGCTCGGAAGGTCAGGCTGGCAGAACCGGCGGACGGCTGGGCGGACCCGTCGGACCCGGCCGGCCACACAGCCGGAGCATCAGAAGTCGAGAGGAAGCTCCAACTGGAGGATGCACAGAAAGAGGAAGCCGCCGGAGGAGAACAAAGAGGAGGCAGATGACAGCGCCTACAGGCGATTCGGCACGATCGCTTCCAACGGAAAGCCTCACATACACTTTGCGACGGTGCAAACTTCCCCTGCAACGATAAGCCTGGCCAATCCCCCAGGCAAGTCCTCCCGGTCATTATTCCCATAATCTGTTTCTTGAAGCCCTGGGGCTTCTGGGGACCTCCAGGGATCTCGGGGGAGCTCTGCGGGCACATACCTCGGAAATCTTGTTCCTTTCAATGCCGACGCCTTTCCTTGACATTAGCCCCCTGGGGTCACGCTCCGGGCCGGGGGACTGTCAGAAAACAATCCGTGATGATGAGGATGATGAATGATTATGATGGTGATGGTGATGGTGATGGTGATGGTGATGATGATGATGATGATGATGATGATGATGATGATGATGATGATGATCATGATGATGATGCTGATGATGATGTTGATGATGCTGATGATGAAGATGATGACGATGATGAAGGTGATGATGAAGATGGTGAATCTGATGATAATGAGGAGGAGGAGGAGGAGGACCCAGGAGGGGATGATGAGATCGATGACGCAGCGGCTAAACGCTGGGCGTCCGACGACGTGATTTCCCAATCTGCGGGGCCTGGAGGTCTCGGGCGGGTGGTCACCGGGGGTCACCCCCCTCGTTGCCACCCGCCCCTGCCAGGTCTCCGGCAGCCTGCTGGTTGCTCGCCGCGGCAGCGCTGGCTCCAAGCCCGAAGCCCGCATCTCGCCAATCGGCCCCGAGGCCGCTGCCGTTGACAGCCTTCCCCGCGCGTGCGGATCTCAGAGATGTAGCTGCTGACGCCGGGCTTCCAAGCCGAGCGGTGGCAGACGGCGCTGCCCCTTCCCGCCGTCCATGCACACGCGCTGGCCTCACCGCAGTTGTTGATGACACTTGGCTCCAACTTCTCCTCCCGCACCTCGCTGAGCAGAGATAGGCTCGCTGCCGGCCCAGTTCCAGCGTTGTAGCTGATGTCGTCAAGATTCGATCTCTCAAATTCTCACATGCCGCTGAGCAGCGACTAGGCCGTCTGCTTCTGCGTGTGTTTCATGTGCGCGCTGATCCCAGCACGGTAACTTATGACTCCAGCCCTCATTTTCGTCTCCCGAATCTCGCTGGGCAGCGACGATGCACGGCTGGCTCTCGCACATGGTTGACACGCTTCGCGGCACAGCTGCACGGCTACGCATCATTGCCTTGTCCTTCCTCGCTTGCTTATTGCAATTTCAAGGCGAGGGTGATTGGCCGACACCTTTGCTGGACGTCTTACATGCAAGTGTATCTGAAGACATAATGCTATGATAGAACTTGATTCGGCCAAAACTGCTTGAGCCGAAGCAGCCTGGAAGAGTTGACACAAGTGCCCACGTTCTCTTTGTGTGGACCGTGGGTCCTTCATCAGTCCTGTTCCCGCGAATATGTACTCGTTCCCGTTCCAGAATCGAAGCCGGGGATGCACACACCGACGCGCCTCGACCTGATCACGCCGATCCCCACGCCTTTGGCCTTGACCCCATAAACACAAACATGCACGGGCCCGAACAAAACGCGCGACAAATCATTTCACAAGTCCTCTTGGCGCAGGTGGCTCCACGAGCATACGTTCGTCCAGCCTCCTTCTTCCCCCTTCGAGGAGAGTGTCGTCTCTCACCCTACGGCAATTTCGTGTCGCGCAGACTTCGGCGTTGGTTCCTGACAGCGCAGGGATCGTTGAACCTTGAACGATCGACCGTTTCTGAACCGTCGAATCGTTCACGATCGAACGATTCTGGGTCGCTGGCGGCGTTCAACGCTGAACGCCGGCGGTGGGGTCGCCGCCGGTCGACACGACGCGAGCCTACTGTACCCCTGCTCCCTGGGTCTCGACGGGCGGCACCGCGCACAGCGTTCAACCTTCAGCGGCCCACGCTCTCCGACAGCTGAGACCGTTTGAAGTTAAGCTGGCCTGGCTCAGGCCGCCCACGCCAGGACGCCACCGCGCCGGCGTTGCGCAGGCCCGTAACAGATGGGACACCTTTTTGCGCGGGGGGGGCGCGGGGCTTCGCGCTGGTGCTCCAATCGGCTACGCGCAGGAAGTGACCCTGGGTAAGAGTGACCTCTGGTGCGCTTTTTTTGATTTTGATTTGCGCGCGGGTGATCGTCTGCCGAACACTCCTGCCCGTGGCGCCGAAACGACGAGCGAGGGGCCCGAAGAGGGGCCGAAAGAAGCGAGGGACGGACCAGGACCCAAACAGAGCCGAGCGAGGGACCGACCCGAACAAAACAGGGACAACGAAAAATCGAAGGCCCGAGACAAGCGATGCTCCAAACACAAGCGCGAAAGACGCTGCTATCGCACCGCGCTCGGCGATCGGGGGGGACCCCTGTGGGCCCGCACCACAGGTCACTCCAGCGAAGGGTCACTTCCCCAGATATGATCGCGTCGTAAAAAAATCAGGACGGGAGGTTTTTGCATATTTTCGGCCCCTGGGGGGCCCTCGCCGGGCCTCGGGACCGTCAAAAAACGACTCAGGACGAAAAACCGGCCCCGGGGAAAGGGCCGGGACTTCCGGGGACGCCGTCCTGAAAAAATCAGGACGTCGCATGTCTGGGTCTACGTGTAGTAGATCCAACACAGATTCCCGGCGTCGTGATTTTTTCACAACGTCGACCCCCAGAGGTCAGGACCCCATGCCCAGGAGCGGTTTTGACGGTCCCGAGGCCGAGTGAGGGCCGCCAAAGGCCGAACATTGCTGAAACACCTCCCGTCGTGATTTTTTCGCAGCGCGAGGGGGTCTGGGCCACTTGTACGTGCCGTAGATCCAAGGTCGCTGCTGCTGGCCCGGTCAGCCGCGGACCGCGCGCCGCGGCGCGGTCAGTTGAGCAGGGACCGACCGTCCCGGCATTCCTGTGGGCCTACTACAAAATATTCTCAGAACCCAAACGTGTTCTAAATAAAAAGACAATGCTCCTAGAACATAGCCCCGATGTGTCAAAACAAGACAGTCCGAACTGTTCTATGAAAACTTCGTGCAAACCACAAATGGTTCTTAGAACATTCTTTGGTGGGCCTATAGTCGGGCCGGGCGAAAGGGGGGATAGCAGGGGGGGGGGGTGAGAATCAGCTCGCGCCGCTGATTTTCCCGGCGCCTCCCGGCGCCGGGAGGCGCCCATGTGTATCGAGGACTGGGCCCTCGGTGGGGCCGAAACCAGCTGCATGCCCCAGATTTCGTAACCCGGTAACCCCCCCTTTCCCTATCCCCCCCTCTCGTTCGGCTCGACTATGGGCGCGCCCCCCCCCTTTCCCTATCCCCCCCTCTCGTTCGGCCCGGCTGCATAGGCGAGCCGGGACGCTGCGCCACTGCTCGAGCCTGCGGCGCTGCGCCCGCCGGCGGCCGTGCGGCCGCGCACCGCCCTCCGCACCTCTGGGCCGGCCTGCAGGCCTTCGGGCCTTCGGCTTCGCCGCCGCCGGCGGGCTCGGTCACGGGCGGGCCGGCAGGCCTCCGTCCCTCCTCCGCCTCCTCCCCCTCCTCCTCCCCCTCCTCCTCCTCCTCGTCCTGCTCCTCCCTCTTCCTCCTCCTCCTCCTCCTCCTCCTCCTCCTCCTCCTCCTCCTCGTCCTCCTCTTCCTCCTCCTCCGCCTGTTCCTCCTCATTTTGCTCCTCCTCCTCCTCCGCCGCCTCCTCTTCTTTCTCCTCCTCCTCCTCCTCCTCCTCCTCCTCCTCCTCCTCCTCCTCCGCCTCCGAGGACACGTGATTCTCAGGATCTGAGCTTTGGCCATCCCGGCGGATTTCCTCGGTGCCGGCCTCTGGGGCCCGCTCTCGGGCCCCCGGGACCATCTCAAAAAAAGGGGCCCGGGGCGCAGGACTACCCCCCCGGGAGGGAGTCGGGACCTCACGGGGCCGCGGATGGGGGCCAGAAGTCAGAGCTGAGGATGTCGGGGGGCCTGTGCTCGTCCAGCTGCGGGGCCACAGGCCTGGTCCGCGCAGCTCGGGCATGCCGTCGCCGGGGTCGGCCAGCACGATGGGCTCTGCTCGTGCGCCTGCTCGTGCGCCTGGTCGAGGTGCAGGGTCTCGCTCACGTGCCTCCGCGGGCGCGATCACCAGGGGTCTCCGAGGAGCGGACGTCGCAGTTCGCCAACGCCACAGAAGGTGCAGATGCTCGCCCTCACGGAGCGTTCCACGCCGCCGCCGCTGCGGCGCCTGGCCTGCGGCGCGACGTCATCGCCGCCGCCGGCGACGGCAGCGCACAGGCTGCACACAGTGGCGAGGGAGGAGTCGCACAGGCGCAGGCGGCGGTAGCAGACAGCGACTTCTGCGCCACAGTCACCGCAAGCGGGTGCCAGCAGCGTCAGGGGGCAGCCGCAGCGAGGACATGGCCCTGCACCCCCGTGCCCTCCGGGCGCGCCGCGCGCCACTCCCCCAGTGACCGCGGCCACGCGCACGTACTGCGCCTGCTCCAGCTCAGCCTCGCTGAGTGCGTCACGGTATCGCCTCAAGAGCAGCGCGGCAACCTGCCCGGCCGCCGTGCAACCGCCCGCCGCCCGCGCGTGTGCGAAGAGACTGGCCATCGCCTGAACCGCGAACATCACCGTGTGGCGTGGGGCTTTGGTCAATCTCAACGCGCATGCCCAGCACTCGATGAGCTCTGCGGCGCCTGGGGCGGCCAGCGGCTGCGCGCCCTGCTGCCTGAGCATGAGGCTGCAGAGGGCGCCGTACGACGAGGCAGCCTCGAAGCGCGCCCGCGCCGCGGGCGTCACGCCCGCCTCGGTGCCCGTGGGCAGGCCGCGGGCGAGCTTCTCCAGCGCTGCGCGGAAGGCGGCCGCCGCGAACGCGTAGGAGCGCCTCTCCAGAGCTCGGACCGCCACGCGCAGGGACGCGTCCGCGTCGGCCACCGCGGCGCGCTCGGCCGGCGAGGGCTCGGGCAGGACCTCCTGGAGCCCGGGCAGGAAGGCCGCCGTGGCCCGAGCTCTGCGCGCGTCCAGCGCAGCGGCTGGCGCCTCCGCTGGCGCCCCGCGCTCCGGCGCAGCGCCGCCGTGCGTCTCTGCCCTGGGCGGCGGCTGCTGCGCGGACGCCGGCGGCTCTTGCCGCTGCCGCTCGAGGGCGCGGGCAGCCAGCTCGCACTCTGCCGCGGCCTCGCGGGCCCCAGCGGTGTCCAGTGGCGGGCGCTCGCCTCCGTCGTCGGCTTGCGGGGGAGAGGTGCCCGCAAGCCCCACGCCGCGCCCCGAAGCGACCGGCAGCCCCGCCTTAGGGAAGGTCTTTTCGTAGCCAACCAAAATCGATGAAATTATTGGCTTCGAATTACTAACACAGTGTTTCCCCAATTGGGCTTTCCCGGGAAGGATGCCTCACTTCTTCTGTGAAAGAAGGGCCAGCGGCCAGATGCTTTTCCCTGGGTGCATCCCCTAGCATGGGTAGTGCTTCCCACGTAAGTGAAGCCCCACTTTGAATTGCGATGTGTTGCGTTGCTTTCCTGAGCTTTGCGTTGCACTGCATTATGTGACCTTGTGATTGTTTGGCTCGCATCGCGTTTCGCTGCGTCGCGTAGCACTTGCACTCGCGCTACACATCACATCATTGCCCTTGTTTGCATTATACGATGCTCCGTACGGCATTGCACTGCATTGCTTCCGCTTCGCATCGCGTCGCATTGCTTCGCAACTCGGAACGAACAAATCAATGCAACACGTCGCAACTCGAAACAAATTGCGGTGCAAAGCAATTCGATTCACGGCAAAAGCAACGCTAACTAAAGTCAGACAAGGCAAGACAAACCACATGCTAGGAACACAACAGCGAGGAAGCCATGTGACGCAGCGCGGCGCAATCTTAGCGCAATGCGCGGCCTTGTCGAACAAGGTCAGCCACCACGTAGAAACTCGGCTCAGACCCAGGTATCCGCACACCGTGCGGAGAGACCCAGACAGAGCAACGCCGCGTGAGAACACGCGTGGCGACTCAACATCGAAGGGGGCGTGCTTGATGTGTGTGTGTGTGTGTGTGCGTGGCCAGTGCCGCCAGAAATCGAGCACGGCACAGCCCGGCGTCGCGGGCACGGCACACCACAGCTCTCGCCACCGCTCGGACGTCCATCTCATGTGTTTTTTTTTTCCGGTTTCGTGCGTGGTTTTTTTTGCTCTATGGTCCAGGATCGTCCTCGATGGTTCTCGCCGAAAAAAAAAAAGGCACACGTCCGAGCGGTGCCAAGAGCTTGGCCGAGGCCCGGGCAGCCCACGGCACGCCGCGCGCCACGGCACGGCACGGCTCCTCCGCGCCCCGGCACGCTCGGCGCGGCTCGGCCCGCACGCACGGCGCGCCCTCTGCACCCTAAGACCTAAGACCTCCGACGCGGCACGGCACTCTGCGGCGCGCGCCGAGGGGGGCGGGGGGGGAGGGGGCCTCTCAGAAGGGGGCTGCTCCTTCGAGGGCGCCATAAGGGGACTGCTCCTTCGAGGGCGCCGGCCTCGGCATCTACACAGGCGAGGCCTGCGCCCTCCGAGGAGCAGGGGCGCTGCTTAGCGGCCCCCTCCCCCCCCCCTCCCCCCGCCCCCCTCTGCGCGCGGCCGAAAGTGCGCCGCGCGCGCACGGCGCGGCACACTTCTTCCTCGCGTGCCGCAAGCGGGCCCTCGCTCGGACGCCCCTTCCCTGTGCTGCTTCCTTCGGTCTCCTGCGTGGCTTTTTGTCCGCCGCATGCTCTCCAGGCTGCTCCTCTCGCTTGGCCCTCGCGGAAGGAAACATGCCCAGATATCCTCCTCGATGCTCCTCGACTGGCCCTCGCCGAAGGAAACAAAGGCACACGCCCGAGCGATGCCAAGGACACCTGCAGCGCGGCGGGCGCGGCGCACGCGCGCACGGGCGCGGCACGCCGCCAGCGCGCCCCACGGCGCGCCCGAGAGAGCGCCGCAGCCCACGACGCGCGGGCCCGGCGCAGCCTCTTCTTCGGCGCGGCGCGCGGGGGGCCCGGCTCGCGGACTGCCTGCCGAGGCCACCCCCGGCCTGGCCCGAGGGGACCCGAGTCGTCTGGCCCGAGCTGTTCGGGCTGGGGGGGGGGGGGGTGCGAGTTTCGGGCTGGGCGGGGGGGGGGGGGGGATTGCGGGTTCCGTGCTTTTTCTTCTCGCTTGTTCCAGCTGTGCTCCCCGACCCCCCCCCCCCCCCCCCCTGGAGAGGGAGGGCAGACCGAGGAGGCCTCCGGGTCGGCCTGGGGGTGCCCTGGTGGGCGGCGAGGCGCGGCACAGTCCTCGCGCTCCCACCTCAAAGCCTGGCGCGCTGCACTGCACGGCAGTGCGGCCACGGCACGTGCTCTTTGCCCTCTGTCAACGCAGGCGCGGCACGGCACGGCACGGCCTCCGCACCTCCAGGAGCACCGGGCACGGCGCGGCGCGGCACGGCGCTCGGGCACGGCACGGCACGGGCACGGCACGCCGGCGGCACACTCTCCGCAGTCTGAGCTCTCGAAGCGGGGTCTTTCAGAACCACTCAAACCTACAAGATTTGCTGCCCAGGGAGCTCAGCAAAACAACGTCGCGGTACGTGATTTAAGATGTCCGACCGTTAATTCGCTTGCGATGAGCTTGTTCTAAGCTGCCGTGTTCCTTGATCCATAACCCGCCTTCGGCTTGCTTTCAAACATAGCTTCCGCTACTCGGGGTGAGGACTTCCGCCCACGCGAACCCACCTCAACTCGCACACATGTTCGCCTGATGTCTGCTTGTTGGGGACGAGCGCTTGTCGTTGTGTCAATACGCTGCATGCTGATCTTTCTTCTTCGCCTCCTTCTAGCCTGGGGTTGCTGGGGCCTTGCTTGGGGGGCAGCGGCGCCTTGGAGGTCCAAGGGGGTCTGAAAGCAACTGCAGGTCTGGCACTCGTAAAAGGCGGGACCCCATGGGCGGAATTGTATGGGCCGGGCCCCGTGGGCGACGGCCAACATCGATATCCAGGACAACGGAGAGGCGGGGCCCTGCAGTCAGGGCGCTGCCAGGCCCAAAAACGTCCAATAGCCGTAGCAGCTGAAGGTGGGCTGCGCCGAAGGTGGGCCACGCGGGCCTGGACACCCAACGCAACTGCAAAAGGGCGGGGACTCGACGGCGGGGCCCCATGGGTGGGGCCCCACGGGCGGCGGCCATTCCCCCCGATCCCCGACACCCAAGGCAACTGAAAACAGGGCCCTGTGGGCGGGACTGCCTGGGCGACAGTTAGCCCCAACGCCATGAGAGGGACCCCATTGGGAGGTGGCCCCTCGCGACCTCGAGGCAACTGATGGCGCGACCCCGCGGGCAGAATCCTGTGGGCGGGACCCCAGGCGGCCAGGCCCTGCGTGCGACCGCCAACCCAGTCACCCATGGCAAGTGAGGGCGGACCCCAAGGGCGGGACCCTGTGGACAGGACCACCTCGAGGGATCGCACGGGGCGACAGCCAACCCCGACACCCATGTCAAGCTGAGAGGGGGGCCCTGTGGACGGGACCCTGTGGGCGACGGCCAGCCCTGACACCATTGATCCGACAAGGATCCCACAAAACGGCGAAACGTGCCTGCGCTCGGCACGACCGGCAATCCCTCTGGCACCGAAAGCGCTCGTCGTTTCAGCCATGCTTTCAAGACTTTCCGTGTGACCCTCACCGTATCAGCCGGCGGCTGTAGGGGTGCTGAGGCTGGCTGCTCCTCAGCTGCGCCCTGTGTGGCCGCCCTCCTGCTGACACCTTCGTCTCCAGGCCTGGCGCCTGCGGTGGCTGCCTCCTCCCCGCCCCCGGCCACTGCAGGCTCCGCGGTTGCCTCTGATGAGGGTTGCCCGCCTGCAGGCTCTGCGAGGCCCTGCGGGGTCGCCGCGGGATCGGGCGGGGACGGCTCTGCCAGGCTCCAGGCTTCTGGCGCGGCCCGTGGAACGGTGGCGGTCGCTGGCAGGCTGGAGGGGAGCTGCTTCGCAGGCGCCCGAGCGCCCCACGGGCCCGTCCAGGCATCCGGGGGCGGGGCGCCGATCTCGGGGAACACGACCTCTGAGCCTGCCGCGGGCGCTGCGGCGCCAGCAGGCAGGGCGCTGCCGGGTCGCTGGCGTGGCGCGCGCGGCCTGGGAGCCGGGGACGGCTCGGTCGAGGCGCCGCGGCGTCCGTCCACGGGGCCCAGCAGCTGCGCCAGGCCCCACAAGCCGCCGCCGACGGCGCGGCCGTCGGCGGCCGCGGCGGGCGCGGCACCTGGGCTGCGGATGCGGACCTTCTTCCAGTCGTCGGCCCGCCTCTCCACGGCCAGCAGCGAGTGCAGAGGCTGCCGCTGGTGCTGCGCCAGGTGCACGTCGGTGCGGAAGGTGCCCCAGACGCGCACCTCGGTGACCTCCAGGCCGCGCGTGGGCCCCAGAAACAGGCCGGCGGACCTGTGCGCGATGGGCAGCCAGGCTCCGTGCTCGCTCTCGAGCACGATCTGCTGGCCCATCCACACGTGCAGGTTCTCCAGGTTGGAGCGCAAGGCCAGATGCACCCACTCGCCGACGGGGAAGGCGGGAACTGGGCTGTCGAGGTGCTCCCAGGGCACCTCGCGGATGACCTCGCCCGAGTCCACGTCCGAGTGCCGCGCGCCGCGAACGGCGAAGCCTGGGGGATCGGCCCGGAATAGCCAGACCAACGAGGGCTCGTCCGCGGCCGCGGCGCCGTCCGTGGCCGCAACAGGGCGTCCGAAGAGCCGCAACTCACCCTGTGGGGGCCGCGTCAAGCGGGCCCACAGCTCCACCGTCCAGCCGGGCACGAGGCCCAGGCTTGCCTCTGAGGCACCCTCGCCCGCCGCTTGGGCCGCCGCCGAGGCACTCCGCAGGAGCCGCTCGCCGGCGCCGTCGCCACGCCAGCCGCCGACCAGGCTGAGCATATCCGCCACCGCGCTTGCAGCGGTTGTCGTGTCGGTCCCTCGGCGCTTCTCGCTACTGTCGCTCCTTGCAAAGCACAGCTTGGGGCCCCTGCACGCATCGAGCCCGATGTAAGCTCATTTTTTCAACCAAGTCCGCGCGGCTTGGGTTCTCCTGCGACAAAGGGTCCCCAAAACAAGAAGGGGGGGCGGGTCCCGTGGCCCCTCCCCCCCTGCACCCCCTCCACCCCGCCGCGCACCCCTCCTCGCTCCCCAGGGCGCATACCCAGGCACCCGCCTGAGCGCGGTAGTGGAATCGCGCGGCAGCGCAACTGGGATCGCGGTCCGCAGCCCCCCCTTCGCCCTCCGCGGGAGTGTAGCGCACGCCGCCGTCGAGCGCGAGGGCGAAGTTGGGCGCCAGGGCGGCTCCCCACTCGTCGGTCTGCTCCAGCGGCTCGTCCGCTGGCAACGGCCCCCGCCACTCGCTGCCAGCGGCACCCAGCACACCGACCCTGCCGCAGCCGGCGCTATCCCGCACTGTGCGCCCCTCGCCGTCGGCGCAGCGCCAGTACAGCAGCAGGCCGCTTGCCAGCACTGTGGGCGGCACGGCGGCCCTGGGCCGCGGCGACGACGACGGCGAGCGCGCACCGGCGGGTTGGCCCCGTGGGGAGCGCACGGCGGTGCCCTGCCGGATGGCTGCGAACACGCGCACCTGCAGCTGCGTGGAGCCGAGCCCGAGCCACTGCATGGGCAGCGCGGTGTGCAGGGGGCAGACGCACTCGGCGCCTGGCGGCCGCCACAGCGGCGGAGGCTCCAGGTACCTCTGCGCCAGGAGGGCCGCGGCGGAGAGGTCCTGTGCTTGCGGGGTGGGCTGCGCTGGGCGCCGGTGCTGCTCGGCGGCGAGGCTCGTGGCCAGCGCCGCCGGCGCGCGCAGGAGCAAGGTGCAGTGGTCTGTGGGCCGCGCCTCGAATTGCGGGCAGGGCGTCCACAACCGCAGCGGTCGCCCGCGCGGCCCAGCACCCCGAAGCAGCCCTGCGAGCAGCGCGCCCAGCGGCAGCACCTCGTGCTTGGCGAGCCCACGTGCCGCCAAGGCCAAGCCGCCCATGGAAGCACCGTCGAGCGCTTGGCTCGCGCACCGCAGCAGCAGCGGCACGGCGCAGTGCAGCATCTCCAGCTTCGAGGGGTCGGTCCGGCAGCCAAGGATGGCGTCCTCGATCTGGGCTGCGGCGCGCGACTCCTCCTCCGCCTGGCCACCCCCGTGGCGGCGCCAAGCTCTCGGGTGCGCCGCGCCTCCAGCGTCGAGGCCACGCACCACGGCGGCGAGGCCACGGAAGTGATCGCCGCAGGCGTCGGCGTAGGTGGCGAAGGAGGCCGCAGACCAGGACAGCTGTGGTGGTGCCTCCCTGCACGTGGCCGCATGCCAGAGGTGCCTCGTGATCGCTGGCGCGGGGACCCCGCTGCCGACGCCGCCGGCTGCCAGGTGCGGCTCCGCGGGGGCCAGGCGCCAGTCGCCACCGTCCGAGAGGGCGCGCGGCAGCTCTCCTGCGGCGGCGAATGCCTCTACGAAGCTCACGGGCCTCGAGCGCACCCGAGCGCGCAGCCGCTGCCCCTCCTGCGTGCTGCGCCCAGCTGTGCTCGAGGCCGCCGCGCCTACCTCGAGGCAGAGGACGCGGTCCAGGAGCGCACCTGCGACCAGTTGCGGGCGCTCGCAGAGCCCGACCACGCACGGCGCACGGCCAGGGTGGACAGGCCAGGCGACCAGGCTGGTTGGCGTCGAGAGCAACAAGAGGCCCAACCTGAGGGCCTCCTCGATGGGGCCGACACACCTGGGGCTCCCAGATCGCACGCGATCGCCGAAATGCTTACCAATGCAACCTCGGAGATGCGGTGCGATCTGGACTTCCTGCGTACTTCGGCCCTGTCTTGGAAGCCCTCGCAACCTCTCGGGCGCCGCGGCTGCCGGCGCTGGTGGTGGCCGCAGCCAAGCCACCGAGAGGGCGCGTGCGGCTGCCGACAGCGCCACGCGCACGTCCAGCCACGCCACCACGTCGCAGCGCCCCCCCGCGCGGAACCGGACCACGTAGACCGCGAAGGCGGTAGCCAGCGCCAAGGTGCAGGGGCCCGCCGCGGAGCGGTGGCCCCAGCGCGCGTCCACGAGCTCTCCGGGCCCGCACGGCGGGAGCGCGGTGGCCGCCTCGTTCCCGGGGCCCGCGCCCTCCGCCGCGCCTCGCGCGCGCCGGGCGGTGCGCAGCGGGCCGCAGCTGCCCGCGAGGCCGCTCGCCCAGAAGAGGGCGAGCTCGGGGCAGCACCTGGGGCACCCAAGCAGCCGGTCCACGTGCGGCTGCGGCAGGGCCTGGCCGGCCGGGCCCGTGAGCAGCGCCGCGCCAGCGCCAGCGGCGGGCGCAGGAGCCTCGGGCAGAGGCGCCTCGTGCAGCGAGACCTGTCCTGCGGGGGAGCGGCTCAACCACAAGACGTGGCGGCCACCCGGGCCGTCCGCGAAGGCGGCGTCGAAGGCATCGTCGGGGGCGCGCGCGATCAAACGGCCGCCTGCGTCTAGCAGCACCACCTGGCCGAGCACGGCTGCACCAGTGCTCGCGGCCATCGCAGGTGCGGCAGCGATGGCTTATGTTGTTCTCATCGTACTTCAGGACCACACCCCAGAAATAAGTTCGAGAACCCAGAATTATCCCAGTGCGACCCTACCTAGGAGTTGGAGCCTCTAGGAAAGCAACATTAGTGGATGCTGTGCTGCGCTATGCTCTGCTCTGCTCTGCTCTGCTCTGCTCTGCTATGCTGCGCAATGCTATGCTGGGCTAGGCTAGGCTAGGCTAGGCTAGGCTAGGCTAGGCTATGCCATGTTATGATATGCGATGCTATGATATGCTATGCTATGCTATGACATGCTATACTATGCTGCGCTTTGCTATGTTATGGTGTATTATGCTATGCTGCGCGATGCTATGCTATGCTATGCTATGCTGCGCTGTGCTATGCTAAGCTAAGCCATGCTATGCTATGCTATGCTGCGCTATGGTATGTTATGTTATGCTATGATATGCTATGCTGCGCTATGCTATGCTGCGCTATACTATGCTATGCAATGCAATGCTATGCTATGCTAATGCTGCGCTGCGCTAAGCTGAGCTAAACCAAGCTAGGCTAAATTGAGCTAAGCTGAGCTAAGCTAAGCTAGGCTAAGCAAAGGTAAACTAAGCTAAGTTAAGCTGGGCTAAGCTAAGATGAGATAAGCAAAGCTAAGCTAAGGGGGGCGCAACTGGGGGAACCGCGGGGCGGATACTGGGGGAACCGCCCGGGGCGCTTTGCACTGCCCGGCCCCTCGAAGAAAGAGAGTACGAACCCTCCAGGCAGAGCCTAGGTAGGGACAAAAACACCGCAACAGTGTCTGCCCGACACGCTGGCGAAGTGCCGAGCGAGCATCTCCTCCCAGGGCCCGACACCGCGAAAACCTTTTCCGGTACAGGTCTTCGCTTGGTGCTCGAAGTTACTCCTGGTGGCCACGACCGAAGCAGGCTGGAACATCATAAGCGATGGCGAGCAGGTGGCTGGCGGGCCCCCAGTCTGGTTCGGGTCGGGCGAAAGGGGGGGATAGCAAAGGGGGGGTTTGAGAATCAGCTCACGTAGCTGATTTTCCCGGCGCCTCCCGGCGCCGGAGGCGGCCATGTATCGAGGAATGGGCCCCTCGGTGAGGCCGAAACCAGCTGCATGCAGCAAATTTCGTAACCCCCCCTTTCCCAATCCCCCCCTTTCGCCCAGCCCGACTGGTGAGCTGGCCAGCAGGGCCAAGAGCGGCTCCAGGCCGTCGGGGCCTCCGCGCCCGCCCCCCGCGGCGCCCGTGCGGCCCGTGGCCGCCTGGTGCAGCCGCAGCGCCCCCTCGGAGAGGAAGAATACCTTGAAGGGGCCCCAGGACACACAAATAAATACACACAAATAAAAATATGCCCCATATTTTCCTTTATTTTATGGGTTTTTGTCTTCCCCCCATATTTTCCCATATTTTCTGGGGAATGGACGATTAATTGTGTCTGTGTGTTTTTTCCCCTCCTGAGACCTCCCCGGACGCCTCGCCCCCGGCCTGCACGGGCCCGGCGGCCCCCGCTGCCGCGAGCAGCGGGGGCACCAGGCAGGTGCGCGCCAGAGCGGCGGGCGGCGCGGAGGTCCCCTGCAGCATCGCGCGGAGGTCCAGCCACGCGACGCCACTGCCCGCTGCGGACGCCAGCAGGAAGGCCTGAGGTCCTGCGAGCGCGAAAGTGCGCGCGTCTGGATCGACGGTCGCCGAACCCTGGCCTCCGCGCAGGGTGCGGAGGGCCTCCAAGCGGCCTCGCGTGAAGGCGGTGGCGTCGACAGCTCCTGGCCCCGCCGGCCTGCGACGGCCTGGCTCGGCACTCCAGATGGTGAGGTCCGACGCCGCGTCCAGGGAGACGGCCAGCCGCTGGCCTCCTTGCGTGAGCCCAGAGGTCAGCATCAGCGCCCGCAAGAAAGCGGCAGCCCCCTTCGCGCGCTCCGCCCGCAGTTCTGGCGCGCCGCTTTCGCCGGGGAGCCCCTGCGGCATGGCCAGCTCAGGGCTGCACCACAATGCCAGCACGCCGCCGCGTGAACCGCCACCGCCTGCCAGCAGCCAGGAAGGCCCACTCTCCACTGGCCAGGTGCACACCATGCAGATGTCTAGCACCGCCAAGTCATCGCCGCCCTGCTCGTGGGAGGCGCCCGCGACGGGTGGGCCTCTGCCGAAGACGGCTCTCCCGATCAGCTCCTTCGCCCTCTGCCTCAAGCCGCGGCCCGGGGTGTGCAAGTGCACCGGGTCGCCCGAGAGGTGCAGGGCGTGGGCCAGGTCGAGGGCGAGCTGCCCCCGAGGAGCGCTGCACCGGTAGACGAGTATCTCTCCAGACCGGCAGCCGACCAGCAGCAGGGGCTCATCCTCGGCGCGGGCGTCGCGCACGGACAGCGCCGTCGCGAAGCGGCCCTCTGGGAGCTCCAGCTGCTCGGCAGCGGCGGGCACGGGCGGGCAGCGGGGCAGCGCGGTGACGCCCAGGTGCGGCCCGAGCGCCACCACGGCGGCCCCGCAGCGCGCGGGGGCGACGAGGCAGCGGGCGGGCGGCGGCGGCGCCCCGGGCGCCGCCTGGAAACGGGCGAGGGCCTGCTCCACGCCGAGGCCCACGGGGTCCTGACTGCCAGACCACCCCAACCCAAGCTGGGTCGAACCGGGAGGGCCGAATTTCGCCCGCATGTCGGGTGGGGGGGCGGCACGGGCTTCCCCGGAGCCTTTTCAATGCTCCCCGAGCTCCCCCCCGCTGGAAATGGAGGGCGAATCGGGGCCTCCGCGTTGGCTTGGGGTGGTGTGGTGGGCGAGGTCCAGGGCCAGCAGCAGCAGCCCCGGGCCCAACAGCACCAGCAGCCACTCCGGCTCGCCCGCGCCCCCCGCGAGCGCGCAGCCCAGCACGCTGCAGGGCGCCGGGGGGCGCGCGCCGCCCGGCGGGGAGGCCCGGCCCACCCTGCTCGGCCTGCGGCCGTCCGCCGCCCTGGCCTGGGGCAGCGGGCTGCAGCGCGCGCGCAGCACGGCCCCGGGCAGGCGGCCGCCGCAGACCGCGGCGCGGAGGTCGCCCGCCGGCTCGGCGCCGACGCAGTAGGCCCAGCGCCCGCCTGGCGAGGCGGCCGCCGCCTCCGCGCCGGGGGCCCAGCAGGCGGCGTAGCTGGCCCACGCGGGGCGGCTGTCGCCGCGCTCGTCCTGCCAGGGCGACGCAGGCCACACCAGGAACGTGAGGCTTCCCCCTCACGGAGCCCCTCCCCCGGAGAGCTCACCGGAGGTCCACGGAGGAGGTCCCAAGATCTGGGGGGGCCAGAGAGGGCCACCGAAGTCCTGTGGCCCCCCATCCTCAGGCAACCTCGATGACATCTTGCACCGCGTCATTCTCCGCGTCGGATCCCCATCCCATCCATGCCGAGCGTCGAGCCCGCATCGAAACCGCGCCGGCATCCCGCCGAGTCTGCGCTGAGCTCGCGCCGGATGCAGCCAGAGACTGCCCTTCGACGACGCAGGACAGGCGGGGCCCACCGTGAGGAAACGCAAGTGATGCTCAGAGGTCGAAGCCTCGCTGTGCCTGCCGCTCTGACCGCCCGCGGGCCTCGGGCGCCCCGCCCGCGGCGGCGCCCTGCTGCCGCGCGCCGCCGCCCAACAGCTCCGCCATCCCGCGGGCCGCTCCCGCGGCTCCCCCGCGCTGGGCCCCGCTTGGGCCTGGCCACGGCACCACGGCAGGCACATACAAGATCCTGCGCCCAGAAGCGTTTCCACCCCTTGGGGGCACACCCTTTACTTCCGCCGCCTTCCGCCGACTTCGTGAATCCTGAGCCCAGAAGGGTTTTCGTCCCTCGGGGGCACATCTTCTACTTCCGCCGCCTTCCGCCGAGCTTCCGCCGGCAGAGGCGGTCTCGTTTCACTTCCGCCGGCCTTCCGCAGCCCTTCAGCCGCCTTCCGTCGCGGATGACATCTCGTTCTATCCTCGAAGGCCGTTTTTGGAGCGCCCCACATACGATAAGACATCATGCTACAAAAAGCCTCTGCGCAAAGAACGAGGGGTCCTGAAACGTGTCCCAGGGCTTCTGTGGGCGCCTGGGGCCATCGGGGGACAAGAGATCCCCGTGGGGCAACCTCGGCGGTGGACAAACCTCCCTTTAATAAACCTCACTTTA